CTTACATGTTGCTACGATGCTGAAAGCTATGCCACTGGTATTTCAAAGCAAGGTCACCCATGGTGGACAGGTTTCAGTGTAATTTCTGGATTAAGAGACTAAGGCAGACTACCTACAAAAAAGGTCGGGAGATCTGCTTCTGAATATTAGCCAGTGAAAACGTTATGAATCTGTTCATGACACCTTAGCAAATTTGATGAGGGGGTGATTGCTAAAGGAAGATATCATGTTTGGGAGATTAGAGGGCCAAAGTAGGCAATGGAGACCCTCGGAGATGGACTAGAGCAACAAGAGCTGCACAACCTGGCGACCAGGAGGAAGATACAGACCTGGGGAATGTTTCATTTGCTGTACAGAAGATCCCATAAGTGGAGTCTACTTGACAGCACTCATCTCTATCAGTTGAGTAAGAAAACAGGGTTATTAACACAAAGTCTCAAAGAAGAAAATTTATCTCCTGTGTTTCTTTCCTCAGGAAGCTTCTTCTTGTTGTTAAGTGCCATTGAGTCAGTTCTGACTCATAGCAACCCTGTACAGGGTTTCTGAGGAGCGACTGGTGAGTTTGAACCACCAACCTTGCAGCTCAAACTGAACTTGCAGTCTAGTGCATTAACTCACAGTGCCATACCAGGACTCCTAATGGAGGATAACAAAGAAAACAAGAAAATATAGACACGAGATCTAGCACAGAAGAGATCAAGAAAATTTTAACAATGAACTGACTGTGGAAAAGGAAAGCTGATATTGACATTCTAACACTCTTTCCTACTCTTCTCATTTTCACACAAGTCATAAACAATCGGTAGTACGTATTTACATTATGCCCTTTTGCATATTATTTGAGCCAGTCATATATGGTGGCTAATATCCCTTATTATGTTTTCATGGAATTCAATCAAACACAATTACCATCAAAGTGATTTCGACTCATGGAATCCCCATGTGTCAAAATATAACTGTGCTTTACAGGGCTTCCAGTGGAAATAAATCACCAGACCTTTCCTTCAAGGCATCTCTGGATGGGCTTTAGCCGCTATCTAGCCAGCTGAGTGTGTTAACCGTTTCTCTTATCCAGGGACTCCTAAAACTGGAAGAAGAAGAAAAAAAGCCACCTGAGAAAAACAAAAATCCCCACTGCCATCAAGTAGATTCAGACTCCTAGTGATTCCATAGGACAGAGTGGATAGAACTCCAAGTTTCCAAGACTAAATTTTTATGGGCGCAGACAGCCTCATCTCTCCTGGAGCGACTGGTGGATTTGAACTGCCAGCCTTTCGGTTAGCAGTCCAACCATTAACTCACTACACCAGCAGGGCTCCTTGTATGGAATAAATCGGTTCCATTTTTCCCCGTAGAGATATCCTTTTGGGAACATTCCATCGTCATTCTCCAATATGGACTGACTGCCCTCTATGACTTTTACTCAGCTATCAGTACAAAACTTTGTCAGAATCATCTTGGGAATGGTTTTTTTCTCTCTCATATTGGAACCACCCTTGTTTTCCCAAGTTAGTTGATTCACTCTTAAATTGTGGGTTAACGAGTAAATGGAAGTGAAGGCTGTGAACACTTGACACCCGGTTAGTAAGAGGGGACCTGGGCAGAGGGGGAAGGAGTCTAATAAGGATGTATTTAGAAACACAAAGGCTCAATCAATAAGCTAAAAAACAAACCAAAAAATATAAAATTTGAAAACGTATGTTCACACAAAAGCCTGAGAGTGAAAGCAGCAGCTTTATTAATAATCACCCCAAACTGAACCACCCAAGATGTCTTTCAGTAACCACTACACTACCAGAGCTCCTTATACATACACTTAAAAGCACATAATCCACCCCATGCCTCCCCTAAAAGAGACAACTCCAAGTCTCATCCAGTTATTGATTTCAATCTCAAATCTCTGGGTAAAATGCAACTTTCTCCATCAGAATCAAATGGGGCCCTATGTGGTCCAGTAATCTAGTCAAAAAAACACCAAGCTAACTGTCCTCAGCACGTTAACCTTTTATTTAGCAGTTAAGCATTTTAACCAACTGCACCACCCAGCAACTCCATCTCACTGAAATCTATGATGTGCTACCTTATTGGCATTTAAAATACTGAGCATCATAGCAGTGTGCAAACCACACAGTACAGCACACAGTCAGACAGGTGGTGGAGGTGCCTCTTAGCAAGGCTGTATTTTCTTCACCCTGCTTTCAAATCAATGTCTTTTAATCTAATTTGACCTCTCTTTACAAGGCTTTATTTGTACTTAATCATCACTTCCCATTTACCAGTGCATTCCACGGATGATGTTCTGAATTCTCCTCACAATCCTAAGGCACAGGTATGATGATCATTTCCTTTTTCGCATAAGGTCCTGAGGCACACACAGGAAGTAGGTGGCAAACCATGGTTTGAACCCAGGCCATATGGCATCAAAACGTGTGCCACTGTAACTCTACAACTTAAGAAATGGCCAACAGGTGCCAACACTCTCAGGCTTCTCTATTATTTCACTTGCCACCAGTTTGGTCTGAATCCCAAAGCACAACAGGCAAATGTCTCATCAGCAAATAACTAAATCCACCCATTTCTCAGCACAGGACAGTTGGGTCCCTGCTAATCCTGTTTTAGTATTTTTCACTTGCAATTCCAGACATCAACTCACTCATCAGGGTTCTTTGCTGCAAATGAGAGCACTCACACTCGCTTGTTTAACCAGAAAAGAACCCTGATATATATACACATACATATAAACATATATGAGTGTTACAGATAGTAAACAGCATCTCCAGACAGACTGGTGTCAAGCTTAAATACAGTAAGAAAAATTTCAAACCACATCTACGAACTGCTCCACAAAGACTGCCTGCCACTGACACTGATGCACAAACCACCGATACAGTCCACTGACACTGCTGCCCAAATGCCAGACAGCAGACAGCAGTGTTGACAAAAACTGCAAGGACTGACTTTTCATCAAGTTCTCTTCCAACCTGAGGTACCTGGCCTGCCTCAGCTGACGGAGGGGCTGGGGAAACAAGTTTCTAGTCTCTATCTTAGGGAGCTGGAGTAAATAGAAGAAATTCCTCACAGGAATGTCAAAAGACCAAAGCAGGGCTACCAAGAATGGTGTCTATTACTACATCAAAGATTTCTATTTTAGTTTAACATTGAATTTTAATTTCTAATTTCCCAAGCATTTAGATTTTTAGGGATTACTTCAACATTAAAGACTCCTCACAAATAATGTGCTAAATGATTAATGCACTTATGTATAATTTGAAAATTAATAGAGATTAAAGAAAAAGATAATTCACAAAGTTGTACCCATGCCAGTTATAACCACAGTAGTATGTCACTTGTATTTCTCTAGTTGTTGATCATGAGAATGTCAGAAAAAGCCTTCTAAATGCAAATAAACATTATTATAAAACATAACAATATTATAAGCACTAAAAGCAGTTGGGAATTTACACCTTAAGTACATTAAAGTTTATATAAATGAAACGGACACATTTATTCAGCACAGCACATTTCGATACATATAAGGCCAAATGTGGTATCCACATTTAATTAAGTATATAAATCATCATGTACCTAATTCCACAGGTTAAAGTGTCCAAGTTCCAGGGCTGCTTTTGGTTATGTCCTATAAAAAGTTCATCCCTGTAGCTCTTTTACCATATAGTCTCACCACAAACATTTTATAGAATGCTTACGTCTTTCTCACAAAACTTGAGTATCCATTCAATTTCATTCAGTCAATAATACCACAAAAGATAAAATGTTATTCTTTTATTTATGTTAAATAAAAACATGAGAAAATCCTTTTTTAAAAAGGGTCAGAATATTATTCCTTATGTCTCCAAACCAAGTCCAGGGATGCAAAGAAATGTTGAGTTCTTTCTCCCCCTTATGGATAATATGCTTTCATGTTGTTATAGCCTAAAGAGACAGCAACACACAGACACATGTCTTTAGTTGTCACTTCAGGAAACTCACGTGCAGTTTTGATATTTGGGCAAGCAAGAAACAGAACAGAACACAGGCACAAGCATATTCTGGAAATACTTCCTGCTCTCTGCTCTGCCAACGAACCTCAGTACCAAGTACTTTTTATATTTTCTTTTTTTTTTTTTTT